CAGCTGCGCGTCGCTGTGACTTCGTGACCGAGCGATATCGCCGCGAAGATGCATGCGTTTGAGATCTTCTCAGCGACTCCTCCTGCCCTCCTGATAGCCCCCAGTCTCCTCGTCATTTTGCTGGATCTGGATCGCCCAAGCGGTGGCGAGACGCACGTGCTTATGGGGGATCCCCCAAGGCCCCCGACGAGGAAACAACTTAACGTCGCCCTGGGAAAGAGGGCGAGGGGGCCGATCACGGGCGTTCTGGCCCCGCTCTGTCCCTTCTGCCTCCGCCCGTCGCCGTGCCCGGCGCATTCTGAAAAGCGCGCTCAAGCACCTTCCTCCCCGGGGCGCCGCCCGCCGACGCCTGGCCCCAGTCGGCCCTCGACCGCGACGGGCTCGACCGCGACGCGCTCGACTGCCACGCGCCCGACCGCGAGGCCCGACCGCCGCCGCGCGACCAGGTGCTACCGCGCCACTCCTTGCCCTTGTTCTCCCACGGCTCGTCCTCTGGCGCCCGCTTCCCCGCGCCCCGGTTGTCCGGCGCGTTTCTGTCTGTCCCGCCCCAGCTCCCGCCCTTGCTGCGCCGGCGCACCCTGTTGTCCTGCGCGGGCCCTTTGGACCACCAGTCGTTGGCCCGCCAAGCCCACCAGCCAGCGCCGCCTCTCTCTTGTTCACTCGGGCCCTCTGGCGCCTCCTTCGGCACCTTTTTCGCCGCGCGCTTGCCGCCCAGCGACCTCTGTTCATTCCCATCCTTGCTCTCGCTGTTGCCCTGCCGGTCTTCCTTCTCCTTCTTCTCCTCCCGGGGCCCCCTCTCCTTCGTGTCCGCCAGGCACGCGGCGACGCGCGCCGCGGCGGCCATCTCTGGACCCGCTCGAGCGAACCACATCTCCTCGTCATCGTCGTCGTCGTCGTCATCGGCGGCGGCTGTCAGTCGTCGTTCGTCGGTCGTTAGTCGTCGGTCGTCGGTCGTCGCTCGTCGTCGGTCGTTCGTCCTTCGTCCTTCGCCCCGCGTCCTTCGTCCCTCATCGTCGTCGTCGTCGTCTCCGTCGGCCTCGTCGTGGTCGGCGTTGTGGTCGTCGTCGTCGTCCTCGTCGTCGTCGTCGTCGCCGCCGCCGCCGCCGCCGCCGCCGCCGTCGCCGCCGCCGCCGCCGCCGCCGCCGTCGTCGTCGTCGTGGTCGTGGTCGTGGTCGTGGTCGTGGTCGTGGTCGTGGTCGTGGTCGTCGTCGTCGTCACAGCTTCGGCTCTCGTTCTGGGTCGGCACAAGGGGCCACCCATGCCCCCGGTCCTGCGCGCGGTGTGGGAGGGCCCGCATCAGCCTCACGAAAGGACCGCGTGCTTGGCCCTCCGCGGGCAACGCGCCACCCAGCAGCGTTTGGCATAACATGCAAAATCGGACCGCTGTCTGCGAGGCGCCGCCGTCCTTGCCCCAACAACACCATGTTTGCAGGCGCCCACCATGACTCCGGAGATTCCCGACAATTGCCAGGCAAGCAGCCCTCGCCCGTGCTGGTTTGAGTAGCCTGGAGCCACAGTGACTCCGGGCATTCACCAGCGCCTTGAGCGGTGCTTCCATGTATTCCTCCTGCTCCTCCCTCCCTCCTCTCCTCTTCTAACCTCTCTTCCGATTCCCCTCCGGAGTCCCCTCACGAGTCCCCTCTCTTCTGAGTTCCCTTCGGAGTTCCTCCGAATCCCCTTCATTTCGAGTTTTCGGCCCCAAGACGCCCCTTGGAGACCGCCAGAGGCTCCAGGAAACCCCCAACAGCCCCCCACAGCTCCCCAAGAGGCACCCAAAGGGCCCCAAGAGGCCCCCAAGAAGTCCCCAGGACGCTGACAGGAGGCCCCAAGTTCCCTCCGAGACGTTTCCGAGGGCCCTCCCACGAGACACCATCAGCCGAGTGAGTGGCCTCTCGCCCCCAACCCACACACGGCGGCGGACAGGCGAAAGGCCGGTACGGTCTCCCTCCAGGGCTGGAGTGCGACGTCCATCGCTGAATTTTTCGAATTGAAATGCGCTCCCCGTCATCCGCCGAGCCGATGCCCCGTGCGACACGGCACGGTATCCTGTTTTCTTGAATAATTCATGTACGACTTCTCCGAAAACGCTCCCCGTCAGCCTGTGTGGAGCGCCGAACGGCTCATGGTAGATAGGTACCCAATGACATAGAAATCGCAATCTCAGTCAGAACGTCCAGCTCGTCTCTAGTTCTTTGAAGACGCAGGGGGTAATCGCCAACGAGAGCAGCCTCCAATGAGAATCCCCGAGCACGCCGCCAAAGAGGTCCGCCCTCAAGGCCATTCCGCAGCGCACGACCAACATGTTTAGCTGAAAAACGCTGGCAAACACTTCGCCGGCCCAACGGGCCACAGGCGCGCTAAGATCTCCGGTGACTGCTTGACCGTTTAGCTACTTCGCCTGCGAAGGGCGGCCACTGGGGATGCCCGGACGAAAAATACCCCGGGAAGGCCCCGGCAAGAGCGGGTCAGAGATGCTTTTCCTCCTGGGCGTCGCCCTCGGGGCCCTCCAGAGAGGCCCAAGAAAGGCCAAGAGGCCCCCAAGAGGCCCCCAAGATTGTGAAAGAGGGCTCCGAGATGCCACAAGATCTCTCCCAGACGGCCCAACAGGCCTCCATGAGCACTCCCAAGCAGGCCCTCAGAGGCCATATTGCTTGTCTTTGAGTTTTTCACTGATTGCTGCGTTTCCACCTTTCCGGCTGACCGGAGCCCGAAGACGGCCCAAGAGGCCCCAAAGATCGCCCGAAGATTTCCCCAGGAGGTGCCCGACGGGTTTTTACAACGCCTGGAGGAGCACAGAGTCCCATACCTCTGTCAACTTCTGCTCAGATTTTTTGTAGGAGTAGCGTTTCTGAAAGGCGGGGGGCGATGGTGGTTCGCCGTAGGCATCTTTGATTTATGAATCAGACAGGGGGGGAGAGAAGACGGTGAAAGAAAGGGAGGAGAACGAAGGAGGAACGAGGCAGGGGAGGAAAGGAACGGAGGAGGTAGAGAGGAGGGCGAATGGAAGGCGAGCTAGGCGGAGTACGTTTTGCCATGTGGCCCCCAGGACTCATCACCATCACCACAACTACCATCATCATTATTAGGTCCATCATCATCATCATCATCATCATCATCATCATCATCATCATCATCGTCGTCGCACTCGGCTGCGTACCGGTACGAGTACGACTGGAGCGGGCGTGCGACTTCGGCGGCGTAGGCCTACTAGCACGGCAGCAGAGTGCAAGGCGGCCGTACGAGTACAGCTACGTACGCGTATTAATACGACGGCGGCGTGCCAGGTCGGGCGTACGAGTACGGCTACATACGGCGACGATTACGACTGCGATGTGCCTGGCCGAGCGTACGAGTAGGGCCACGTACGCGTACTAGTACGACCGGAGCGGGCGTACTAGTACGGCTACGTAGGCCTACTAGTACGACGGCGGAGTGCAGGGACGGTCGTACTAGTGCAGCTACGCAGGCCTACTAGTACGACGGCGGGGTGCGGGGTGGGGCGCACGAGTACGGGTACGTACGGCTCCTAGTACGACTGCGGCGTGCACGGCCGAGCGTACGAGTACGGCTACATACGGCTACTAGTACGCCTGCGGCGTGCACGGCCGAGCGTATGAATACGGCTACATACGGCTACTAGTACGCCTGCGGCGTGCACGGCCGAGCGTACGAGTACGGCTACATACGGCTACTAGTACGCCTGCGGCGTGCACGGCCGGTCGTACGAGTACGGCTACGTACGGCTACTAGTACGACTGCGGCGTGCACGGCCGAGCGTACGAGTACGGCTACGTACGGCTACTAGTACGACTGCGACGTGCACGGCCGAGCGTACGAGTACGGCTACGTACAGCTACTAGTACGACTGCGGCGTGCACGGCCGAGCGTACGAGTACGGCTACGTACGGCTACTAGTACGCCTGCGGCGTGCACGGCCGAGCGTACGAGTACGGCTACATACGGCTACTAATACGCCTGCGGCGTGCACGGCCGGTCGTACGAGTACGGCTACGTACGGCTACTAGTACGACTGCGGCGTGCACGGCCGGTCGTACGAGTACGGCTACGTACGGCTACTAGTACGACTGCGGCGTACACGGCCGAGCGTGCGAGTACGGCTACGTACGGCTACTAGTACGACTGCGGCGTGCACGGCCGAGCGTACGAGTCCGGCTACGTCCGGCTACTAGTACGCCTGCGGCGTGCACGGCCGATCGTACGAATACGGCTACGTACGGCTACTAGTACGCCCAGCGGTCGTACTAGTAGGACGAAGTAGGCCCACTAGTACGACGACCGGGCAAAGCAAACCTATTCTGCGCGCGTGAGGCCCTGTCGCAGCGCTGCGCAGGAGGCTAGCATCTAGGTCTGGGCGGGGGCGACCGAGCTGCCTAGATCCCGCTCGATGCACTGGATATGGCTTCTCGACCTCGGTGTAAGCCTCTGGATGGCATTATTCACGTGGACCACCTGCGACTTAATGAGGAGGTCGTCCACGAACATGTGGTGGTCTAAACTGGGGCTGCTGGGTCCAGGAGCCCAGGGGATCTGTGGTATACATTTGTGTGAGGTACCTAGCAAACCCGCATCCTGCCGCTATCCCATGTACAATGTTACCGACAGGGACGACTAGGTCCTGGAGGCCGACGAACCTGGGGCTAGCGTAGATGCTGAGGATGCTCCTTAGTAGCGTAGGGGAAACCATTATATAACGTTCTGGCTGCAAGCTTGTGGCGGTTAATATGCCCATGCAATTTGCTGAGGTCGTGGAGGGCCATGCCAGACAACAATTGCTCATTACGCTTGCTATAGCATTCGCAGTCTCAACTTTGCTTGACAACGAATTCGACTACGGGGTGACCAGATTGATGGGCTGGCAATGGCCCCCTGCGCTGTCGCTCCCATTGTCGCGCGGCTGACTGGCGAACTCTAGCCCGCGCTCGATCCAGGCCTGACATCATCCCTATTGGGCGCATCGCTGGTTTTGTGGCTGATGGGCATTACTGCTTGCGTTTCGTGATAAGCACAGAGATTACGGCCTGTATCTGAGAGGGCATGAAACCGAGTCTTCCAATCATCAGGAGCAGCTGTGCGATCAGGTCCGCCTGCTGCTCTGCGATCAGGACGAGACGCCCATTGTGGACTTCGTCCCACGTGGAAGCCCTGCTCGCGGCGAAGCTTTTGGCGGCGCACTGGATTCTGGCCCGGCATGGGCCCCAGAGCAGTCCCATCGTCGATGTCCCTTGGAACCGGAGAAGGTAGGGAGATTTCGAGGTCGTGTCCGAAATATTCGCTTGCTTCACCTCCAAGAATGCTGCTGGGACGACCGACCGCATGCCACTGATAGGTGGCGGCCGGCCACCATGCGTCAAGGTTGCTAATCCATATTCGGGCCCAGCCGATACTTCCTTGGTGAGATGTTTGAACCCGCGAAGCCCAGGATTTGTGCGCCTCTGAGAAGCTCTTCTTGCGCTCGTACTCGATGTCTTGACCAGATCCTGGGGGGCGGTGCCTATGGCCTGGTCGGCTGCGCCCGCGGATGGGGCCCCTGCTGCAGCGCCTGCCTGCAACAGGCCGCAAAGGCTGATGGCTGCGGCAAGGCTGCCCTTCAGGCTCAGGACAATGTGAAACCCTGCCGGTGGGTCCTGCAGACCCATGATCAGATGCGTCGCCTGCGACATGTCCTGCTTGCCGGCGGGGAAATTAATGTCGACGGGGCGGTTTCGAAGCCATCTGTGCTGGCCCTGCTGGGATCTCCAACAGGTCCTGGTCCGATGTATTTTTGCCTAGCTTTGACCCACTTGGTATCGGGGGGGCTCGATCGAGTGTCCGACGAGCGCCGAAGCGGGGTTCCGGCGATGCTGCGGATCGGCTGTTCGAGGTCGCGGACGACGGCGAAATGACCAAAATCGAGGATCGACTGCTGCTGCTTTCGGAGAGGCTCGACGGCATCGACAAGCAGGGAGTCCGCGCACAGAAGCGCGGCCTGGCGCGACTGGGGCCCGATCGGCGCTGCCGAAGGTAACCTCTGCGGCTTCGTTCAGCGCCGAAGCCAGGATATCGCTGCCACCTTGAACGTCTAGGCAGACTGGCCTGCGCAGCGACAAAGGATAGCTGGCCCACGCTTGGACCTCGTCGATCTACTCCCCAAGGGTTTCGCTGATCAGGAAATAATCCAGGACGCTTTGCGATCCGGGCTTTCGGCGCGCGCGGGGGCCTCTGGGGCAACCAAACGGAGCGATGCCCTGTGGGGGAAGCCTGTGCTTTCGATCTTCTTGGGGGGGGGGGCATGTTGAAGCCCCCATGCAAAGATGATAAGGAGCTTGCTGCGCTCCTGCTGAACTACAACGTCTGCTAACAGGCCTAGTTTCGTCCCACCTGGACCTTCTGACGATTTGAAGCGCGCGCGCAAAATGCCCACCTCGGGGAGACCTGGCGCCTCTAGGCGGATGCCCGTCAGGCGACTGGGGTCGGCCGAGGCAGGGGAAAACATGGGCTCGATCCCGAAGTCGAGCTGGCCTCTGATGGCGATGGCAAACCCGTTGGTGCGCTCGGCGTTATCGTTCACTGCTGCTTTTGGGATATGAGCAAGCCAGCCCCGTCGCTGGCACCACTGAATCTTCTGAGCAATAAGGCCCCCCCCCATCGGTGAGTCTGTGCTCTTGAACACACATCACCGTCACGTAGTGGGCCAAGTCTGACTGTAGGAAATGCTCGAAGGTGTTCCAGCAGCTCCCACTGAAAGTTACCATCTTCAGGTCAACGGCTGGACTGGGCGGCCTGGTTCGCGCCACCTGCTGTGGCGACGGCCTCTTTGATTTTCTCAGCGGTTTCGGTGTCGGCGTTCTCCTCCATGAACTGTGCCACTTCCGAAAGCGCGTTTCAGCCGAAACCCACCACAGCCATCGCTTCGTCCTCCTCCTCCGAATCTGGGCTGGCTGGGATGTGCTGCGGGGTCTCTGGCTGGGGCGACGCTTCTGCTGCGAACAGCGGCGGTGCTTGGAGCGGGGCTGCCTTCGCCGACAGCGGTTGCAGCTGCTGCCTAGGCGTGACGGCCGCTGCTGGGGCTGAGAGTGTCGCTGCCTGCGTTGCCATGGCCTGCTCATGCTGCTGCTGGAGCTCGTCACAGGTATCTGCCTGGGACTGCACTTTTTGCTGGAGCTGATGAGGGACCACTCCGCCAGAGGGGGTCTTGGCCTGCAGCGCCGCGTATACCAGGTTGGAAGTGTCGCTCTGGGCTGTGGCCTCCTGCGCTGCTGCAGATGCTGCAAGGGCACGCTGGGTCTCCAGCATCTGCAGTTCCTCCTTGGCGTCTGCAACCTCCTTCGTGCGGCGCTGGTACGAGGCAGCCAAGGTGGCGATCTGAGCTGCGGTGCCCTGGAGGTCGGCTTCGAAGTCGTCGAGCTTCGCTTTGATGGTAGTGATCTGCCCACTGAACGATTAAGTCTGTTAGTCCAGGCTCTGGCCGCGGAGAGCCTCCAACTTTGCGTTCTTGAGAGCCCCCAGCGCGTCGTTACATTCTCTGTGCCACAGCGGGAGCAGGCTTTGGCGCTGGCCCACTCCCAGCCCTTGCACCCTGCTTGGGAGCGCACCAGGTAGCGACGATGAGAAGCGGTGCCGCAACACTGCTGCGGCGGGCGGGCCTGGGGCTGGGGATGGTGTGGAGAACCGTGTCGCTACCGTGGGGCCCTGCGCTCCAGAACCACTCTTACCTTGGCAGCGGATACGCAGCCAGAACTCATCGCTGATTCTCGTGCGTCTATCGCCCTTCACAACGCTTAGCCTTGAGCCAAAATGTCTACGGGCGAGGGGGGGGCAGGAGGCAGGGGAGGAGGAGGATCCAGGCTCGACCCTCGATCCTCGAAGCTGCGAAACCCCCCAGTGGGGGCCTACCCCCGCTGGCGGCCGTCGCAAGGGGGGGGGGGGGGGCGGGGCGGCGCCTGGAGCGAGCTCGGGACCAGCCCCCGCATCGCGCGGCCCTCGGGCGCCTCCTGCGGCAAGCTCCCCCCCGCCCCGCCAGGGGGAGGGGGAGCGGGGAAGGGGGGAAGGAGATTGGAGGAAAAAGGCACCCATCCCGAGACCCAGGGCGACGAGATCCATACATATCCACTGCTCCCTGGCCAAGGCCGTCCTGAACCTGGCAACGGTGTGTACGCCACGCCCTCCTGGCCTTGCCAGGAGGGCATGGATGGGCCTGGACAGGGAGCAGTGGGTCTATATAGGTCTCGTCGCCACACTACCCCTGCCTCGTTTTCCCATTTTGGGGCTTCCTGGGAGGCCCTCGTCGCCACCGCTGGATTCGCCTCGAAATTCTGGTCACAACGCAACCCGGGAGAGGTCCGGAGCGAAGCCGCATCGGTAACGATTGACTTCCCAAGGAAAGGCGCAATCAAGCCGAAGGCCTAAGCTGACATGGGCGCGCAGCTTGGATGCTGCTCCGCAGCTGCTGAGGGTTAGAATTCTGCCCTCCATCCGCCGGCCATCCCCTCCTCTCCGCCTCCTGCGGCGCTTCAGCCTGTCGCGCCAGCGCTCGCCCGCTCAGCCCGGCAATCATCGCTAAGCAAGGATGGGGGGAGGGATAGGGGTGGAGGGAGGGGGGAAGGAAGGAGAAGGGAGGGAAGGGAGGGAGAGGAGGGAGGGAGAGGGGCAAGCTAGGTGCGCTCGCGTCTATCTGACGTCCTACCCCTCCCTCCCATCCCTTAACATGACATAGATATCCTCTCTATTTGCACAGTCAGATGTCGTAGCATGGCATAGCCTTTCATGGCATAGCATGGTGTTGAAGGTCAACGCGTAGCATGACATAGCATGGCGTGGCGACATAGCATAGCGCCCCAAAAAATCAACGAATCGACACCGAATGTGCAATCATTTCCGATGGTTTCTTTCGGTCGGCAATTTCTAGATTTTGGGGCCTATTTGGAAGAACCGAAAACCGTGCCGTGGCATGGCGCTGGAAATAATGACGTCAGCGCTGCAGCGGGAACACGATTTGGAACGAGCGGAAACGCGGAAATGTGGCCAGCGCTGCAACGGGAGCACGATTCGGAGGACACGAAGACTGACATAGTATGGCGTCGCGACGCCCCAAAGTGGGGGGGCTTCTGCGGCCCCAAAAATCAACGAATCGGCACCGAATGTGTAATCACTTCCTATGTTTTTTTTGGGGGGGGGGCAGTTTCTAGATTTTGGGGAGACCGAACACCATGCCGTGGCACGGCGCTGGAAATGATGACGCCAACGCTGCAGCGGGAGCACGATTCGGAACGAGCGGAAGCGCGGAAATGTGGACAGCGCTGCAACGGGAGCACGATTCGGAACGAGCGGTAGCCCGAACATAAGGCCAACGCTTCAACGAGAGCAACAATGTGCAAAAGACCCCAGCAAAAACCCGTGTCCCAGGAATCATGGGCCGAACATTTCCTGGACGTCATCAGGGGAGAGAGAAAGAGAGTAGTATCCATATTGTGTAATTGTAAAGGAACGGTCGCGACCAGCGGTTGCGGTAAAGGGAGGGGAGAGAGGTAGGGAGGGAGGGGAGGGAGGAGGGACAGAGGGAGAGAGGGCATGAAAGAGGGAACGGGGATGGAGGAGGGAGGGAGAGGGTAGAGAAAGGTGGCCTCTGATCGCCGTGGCTGGGCGCTGCTTGAGAAAACACAGGGGCGTCTCCGAGAACGAAATTCGAGTTGATGACTGGCCCGTGAGATCGAACCAAGTGGAGGGGAGGAGGGGTGAAGGGTGCAGTAGGAGCTCGACCAAAAGAAACCTTTCCACAAGAGACCCGACCCTGGAACCCCCGAAGGTCCATCGACTGTTGGCGTGGGAACGCCACGCCATCCATAGCAGAACCATCAACACCCAAGAAACCCAGGGTACCATGGTGGCAAGCAAGGTGTTGATTGGAATGGGTTCCACTGTGCACGGCACGTGCTCATGACGTGGAGGACCAGCAGGAGGAGGAGGAGGAGGAGGAGGAGGGGGAGGGAGGAGGAGGAGGTGGAGGAGGGGGACGTATAGTCGATGACTCTGTGTTCCCTGGAAACCACGGTGGTGAGCACTCGCGCGCCTGCAAGACGCTAGGGCTGCCTGGAAGAGAGCTTGGTACCTGGGCAAAGCCAATCACCACGTCGAGAATCGGACTCCAACATTCACGAGAAGCCGTCGACTCCGAGATACTTGGTTTTTTCTTTAAGCAAATCCTGCCTGCAAGAGGCAACGTCAACACTCATAGACTGACAAAACACCACCCTCCATTATGGAAGGCAGAAGAAGCGGAGGAGGATCCTGAACCTCCTGCTCTTCCTCCTGGAACTCCTCCTGTCCCGTCTCCTTACACATCCCACTCCTCGCCCTCCTCAAGCGATCCTCCTGCCGCATATCCCTCCACGTTCCCACCATGAGTGAGAAGGGCTCCGTGCTCCACTTCCCCTCCTCCTGGAAGTGCTCGCATGGGGCCCTTCAAACCAACAGCATAAACATGTCAACCACAGAAGTCCAGTGCGGATGCCTTGCATGCCAGCTGGACTCCCCCTTCAAGGTGAGGGGTGGCGACGGAGGCGCCGCCAGGGGGCCCAGCGCCAGCGGGGCCATTGTACGTATGTTCGTGCCGTTAATTATTCCACTAGGTTGAGGAACTGCAGTCGACCCGTATCGCGAGGACATGCGATAAGGATGCCATTTCGAAGCTTCTCGAGCGGGGCGCGGCCAACGAAAGCGGCCAAGGATGGACCAAGGAGGCAAGGATGCAAGGGTACCCTTGGGAACATTGCCCATCCTTACTATGCGGGTTGACTGTGGTGCAGGTTGGACTCTTTTCGAGCCTCTTCGGGCCACTGGCCCGACTCTCGCTCCCAGAGCTCAGGGCGCTGCCACGCCAGGGCATGGCGCACCCTAGAAAACACGCTTCTCCACTCGTCGTTCTCCTTGGCCTCATGAGGGGGTACATTCCAGGCGTTCTCCTTTGGCCTCC